CATAAGAGTCATGAGCTTAGGGAAAACATTAATACTATTATTTTGCTAAAGGGGTATAGCAATGAAATAATTCCCAGTGATATTCTGCACAGAGTCAAGCCAGACAGGGCCCCTACACTGAGAAGGGGAAGTAGACAGAGGGTTCATGCCCTAACCACGAAGCCATCTGCAATTGAAATCTGCTTGCAAAAGGAAAATCGGTTTTCCACAGTGCTGTCTTACTAGATGCATCAACCAACTCCAAGGCAGGTTCCATGCCCAGGAGTAGTTGAACAACACAAAATGAACTCAGTGGAGGTGTTTTGTTTTTTTGGTTTATGGGTTTTTGTTTTGTTTTTTTTTTCTTACTTTTTATTTTATTTTGTTTTGTTTGAATATTTTGTTTTACTTTTCTTTTGCTTATTTATTTTGATTTTAGTTTTTGTGGGTTTAAGTATTTTTTAATTTGCTTTGTTTTTGAGGGAGGAGAGGAAGAAAGAATGGAAAGTTGGGTGGGGAGGGAGGTGAGGAGGATCTGGGAGGAACTGGGAGATAAAAAATATGAACAAATATACTGAATTAAAATTTTTAATTAACAAAATTAATTAATTAAAATATTTTTCACTATGTTAATGAAGACCACAAAACAAAATGCTTTTAGACAGCAAAGTCAGCAATACTCATTCAGTGTCTACTTTAGGGCTCCTCATCTCAGGGCTTTTAGTTTAGTAGCGTCCTCAGAAACTTGATGTCTTTTACTTGATATCTATGTGCCCTGATGACATTGTGTTGACTAGACCTAGTGAGCAAAAATTCAAAAATAATCTAAACTTTAAAATTTTTGTTTTTAATTGTGTGTGTATTAGAGGTATGTAAATAGAATAGCAATAAGTTCAGTAGTGTGTCTGTGTGTGTGTTTGTCTGTGTGTGTAACAACACCAATTAAAATTTAAAACATTATGAATTTGAGAGGGATTGGATGATACTAGAAGACTTTGGAGGAGAATGGACTAGTGCTTAAATTATGTGAATACAATATTTACATATAAAATTCTTTAAAAATTAATTTAAATATGAAATAGATATTTTTAAAAGAATAGTATAAAAAATCATTCAGTGTCTACATACAATGGTTAGGGGAAAATGGTATGCTTTTGGCTGTGATCAGAACAATTATGTCAGGTTAACAGATATCTTTATTTGAAAATTAAGTTTTAAAGAGTTATTTAATAAGATTAGTTAACAGAGGGAAGATTTGTGGTGAAGAATGCCTATGTGCAGACTTGGTAGGTATTTGAGGATGATATAATCATTGAGTCAGTTGGTTTGTTATGGATCACTCTTTATATTATGAATGAGGATCACTCAAACAATAGAAGTCTTAGAAAATAAATCTTAGGCTCCCTGAGTAAGAGGGAGTTTGCCAAGAGACTGCTTTTGAAATGGTTGCATCTTCAATTCTTTTGGAGCACTTCCTGTATCCTTATGTCCTTCAGGCTGGAACAAGATGACAAGTTTTCAAGAGCCTTTGTCTGCTGCCCAACATTACCTAGTACATGAGTCATTTCCTAACAATAAATCTCTTCTTTCCTCGTGTTTTCAAATTGTCTCTCTATCTGTCTCTGTCCTCCTTCATCTCTGTCAGTCTATCTGTGTCTCTTGCTGTGTTAAAATATATGTATATCACACATACATATGAACATACATACACACATGCACACATATATATAAATGCATGCATATATGCACACATATAATTCATTAATTTTTTAGTAAAAGATGACTTATACAAATTGTAGGAAAGTTAATGTGTAGATAAGATTGAAACCATAAGATTTCACAACAAAAAAGTAACAAACATAAAAGTAATGAACAGAATATTTAGAAAAAATTCACTGAAACAGAAGGTATGAAAAATTGTCATAATTCTACAACCTTAATCAGACAGAGACTATGCTTCTCAAAACAGTAGATGTTCCATTGCATGCAAACATTCCCATAAGATGAAAAATATACAAGAAGCTGGACATAGTGGCACAGGACTTTAATCCCAGCACTTGGGAGGCAGAGGCAGGTAGAATTATGTGAATTTCACTTCAAAGCCAGCTTGGTATACATAGCAAGCTTCAGTCCAGCCAATGCTACATAGTAAAACACAGTCACAAAAATAAGTATATTCAGATACAACTAGTCTTAGCAAATTATAAATGTTAGTGATTATAGGAGACAACTTTGTCAACCACAATACAAATTAAATAGAAAATCATTAGGAAAATTAAATATCCACTTATGTAAAGAGCATACTACAATCTAGGGTAAAGGAGAAACAATAAAGTACTTTGAGACAGAAAAATCAAAAGGCATATCTAAAAATTTTTGGTAGGCAGCAAAGGTTATGGTCACAAGAAATGGGAGACTGGAGAGAGAGAGAGAGAGAGAGAGAGAGAGAGAGAGAGAGAGAGAGAGAGAGAGAGAGAGGAGAGAGAGAAATAAGAATGATATGAGAATAGCTCAACATAAACCTTAAAAAAAACATTGGAAGGAAAATATATTAACACTGAGTTAAAATTTATGGAATATGGAAAACTGACAACTAGACAGTTGATTCTAATGGAAAGATCACTCTAAATGGTGTAATTTTGTAGACTGACTATAGAAAAAAGAAAAAAAGCACAAAAACTAAAATCATGAAATAAGGTGAGGGTATAATTGCAGACCTTACCTATGAGAGAATAACAATAGCACTTTTATGAATAACTAAACTTCAGAGAACACCAAGAAAATGCAAATTCCTGAAAATTGGCAGTACTAAAAGTGACTGTGGAGTAAGATACAATTGGAATGTGTCTATGACGAGCAGAGGGATTGACTAAAGAGTGATCTTTCCAAAAGAAAGTCATAGGAACAAGTAGTTTCATTTGTGAATTCTCTCCAAGTTTAGTAAAATCATAAGACTATGACAGAGAAGGAGCTTGTGAGGGGTTGCTACTGTGCCTATTGTGGATCTAACAGGTTACTGCAAATAAGAGGCTTACTGCAACCATGATTTTATAAGCCTAAAATCAGTCTCACTAAGAAGTTAGGGGTTCTGTAAGAGGCACGGTCACTCCATAGGCTTTAGGGAAGCTCTTTTCCTGTGTACACCAGCCTCTGCTAACTGAGGTCATTCTGTGTTCACATTACACTAATGTTGCTCCAGTGTCACATTACCAGCTACCTGTCACCTGTAGCTAAAACGTCCTATCCTAAATCCTATTCATAAGGACAAATGGGATTGCCTTTGGTGCATACATGGAAAATCACAGTGGTTTCTCATTTATTAATTAATTAATTTATTTATTTATTCTATGTGTTTTTCACATCATGTATCTTGATCCCATTCATTCCCTGTCCCTTCACATCCACCCTCTGCCCCTGGAAACCGCCCCCCCCCCCATAAAACCAAATTCAGGAGATAAAAACCCTGTCTCGAAAAACCAAAAAAAAAAAAAAGGAAGAAAATAAAATGAGAAACATTTGAAAAAAGGGAAGCCGCAGTGCGACCCAACAAATCACACCATAAACCCCTTTGTCCATAAATCGCTGTTTGCAAGCGTTCCTTGCAAAGAGTCATTAGTCTGGTTCAAGGCCACTGGTCTCCACTACGTGTTTGATGCCATTCTTAATATCCTTATCCTGATGTGTCAGTATTATCTGTACTAAGAGAGAGAGAGAAAGAACATGAAGATTGGCTGGTAGGGAAGTGGGTAGGATCTGAGAGGAGTTGAAGGGGAAAGAATATGATCAAATATATCATATGAAAAAATTAAGTATTAAAATATTATTAATTAAAAATAATATTGAAAGTTTTTTTATATTTTATTTTATTTTTCTTTATTAAGAAATTTTCTACTCACTTCTCATGCTATCCACAGACCACCCCCTCCTCCCTCTTCCCATCCCCAGCCCTCTTTCCCAAGCCACCCCACATCCCCACATCCCCCAAATCGAGGTCTCCCATTGGGAGTCAGCAGAGCCTGGCACACTGAGCCTAGGCAGGTCCAAGCCTCTTCCCACTGCACCAAGGCTGTGCAAGGTGTCTCACTACAGGCACCGGATTCCCAGAAGCCTGCCCATGCACCAGGGACAGATCCTGATTCCCCTGCCTGAGTGCCCCCAAACAGTTCGAGCCAAACAACCGTCTTCCGTGTCCAGAGGACCTAGTCCACTCACATGGGGGCTCCACAGCCACCAGTCCACAGTTCATGGGCTTCCACTAGTGTGGTCCGTCATCTCTGCACATCCTCCTATCATGATCTCGACGTCCCTCACCTGCAGTATCTCTCCTCTCTCTCATCAATTGGATTCCCGTAACTCAGTCTGGTGCCTGGCCGTGGATCTCTGTATCTGCCTCCATCTGTCACTGTACAAAGGCTCTATGATGAAAGCTAGGTTATTTGCTAGACTGGTCACCAGAATAGACTGGTCCAGGCACCCTCTGGACTACTGCAAGCAGACCAAGGTGGGGTCAACCTTGAGGATTCCTGAGAGCCTCCCCAGCACCCTGCCTCTTCCTATTCCCATGATGTCCTCATCTATCATGGTATCTTCCTCTCTGCCCTCCCACTCTGTCTCTGTTCCAGCTTGACCCTCCCATTTCCCTATGTTCTCATCCCCCACTCCTTGCCCTCTGCCACCACCACCCCAAACCTAGTTCACTCATGTAGATCTCATCCACTTCTCCTTCACGGGGTCATCCATGTGTCCCTCCTAGGGCCTTTTCCTGTAAGCTAGCCTCTCTGGAGTTGTGGGTTGCAGTCTGGCCATCCCTTCCCTCCCATTTAGTATCCACTTATGAGTGAGTACATACTAAGGTTTTTAACATTAATGAATAAAACTTTTCTGGATCATTACTGAACTCATCAGTGTGATATATAAATCTCACTGTCCATAATTTTACTTAGAATATAAAAAGGAGCAGGAATTAATCCAGGTATTCCGTATCTTCATAAGATAAAAATAATCAAAAGATTATTTGGCTTCTAAGCCATCCTTCTGAACGCATTCATGACCTCCTTGTTCCTTAGGCTGTAGACCAGTGGGTTCAACATAGGGATGACCATAGTGTAGAAGACAGACGCAATTTTGTCAGTATCCATAGAATGACTGGAGCTGGGCTGTAAGTACATGAAGATAAGAGTCCCATAGAAAATAGAGACTGAAGTAAAGTGGGACGCACAAGTAGATATAGCCTTGCGATATCCTCTACCTGTGTGCATCTTTAGGATGGTGATAAAAATGAACATGTAGGATATTAAGATAACCACAAGAGCAAAGAAGATATTGAAACTGGCTAAGTCAATAAGAATAAGCTCATTAACATGTCTATCAGAGCAAGAGAGAACCATGACTGCTGGAACATCACAGAAAAAGTGGTGGACCACATTAGACCCACAAAAGGAGAGCCTGAATGTGTCTTCAGTGTATATGGAGCCATTCAGGAAACCATAGACATAGCAACTTATGACCAGCCATGCACACACACTTGTAGTCATGGTGGTGGCATAGTGTAGGGGCTTACACACTGCTGCATATCGATCATAGGCCATTGAGGCCAACAAGAAATTCTCAATAGTGCCAAAGGATCCAAAGAAGAAAATCTGAGCAGCACAAGCTCTGTAGGAGATGACCTTTTCTCTTAAGAAAAACCCAGCCATGACTGTGGGAGTGACAGCTGAAGAGTAACAAAAGTCCACCAGAGACAGGTTACCTAAGAAAAAGTACATGGGGGTGTGGAGCCGAGAGTCAAAAAAAATCAACATGAATAGCCCCAGGTTCCCCAACAGGGTGATGGTGTAGATGAGGAGGAAGGTGATGAAGAGGGGAAGCTGCAGGCCTGGGGCATCAGTGAGTCCCATGAGAATAAACTGTGTCACTTCTGTCCTGTTCTCCATCACTGTCATCTGACAGCACTAGATGATCTGCAGCAATGAGGAAAAAAGGACATACTGATAAAGAAACTGAACTAAAATTGGAATATATAAGGCAAGACACATTCTTATTATAGAAACAGTTATCAATTCAAGGTAATGAAATAGAAAATCAAATTTGGTACATTAATTATACACAGGAGAATAAACTACAAAATTTGAAGAATACTAATGATTCATCCATGTGATTAAAAAATATTATAACCTGTTGCTTGAAATGTAAACAACTTCATAATTTATCAAAATTATTTTTATAGATACTATCTATGTACAAAATCACTCATCCTGACTTCAGTAGTTGATATTTCTGCTTCACTCACCTTTTTAGAATAAATATGGACATTAGGTATATGCTTTTCCTATCTCATTTCAACAATATTATCGATTTTCTTATTATACCATTGTGGATTATGAAGGATAAGGATTGAGAAATTGACTCATTCATTGTACAAGTATTAATTAGATTTCTGCCTTATACTAAAATGAACCCTTAACACGTACTAATACATTCCTAAGTTTAATGGTCTAAACTGAGTTAAGATTGCACTGAATTTAAACCAATTTATTATTACCATATGTCTATGTTGGTTTAAACATACTTTGGAGTATATTTTGATCAACTCAGTTTTTGTGCCGTTTACTAGCAGACTATCACTGAAGGTTAAATAAACCCTAAAACAAAATTCATGAGGGTGAAATGCTTTTTATTTCCATTGTAAAAGTATCATCAGGAAACTAACAAGCTCTGGGTTGTGTTTTAACCTCTTATGCAAAAATCACCCTTTATTACTGCCTGTATATCTACATATGTCTGCAAAAATGGGACAGACTGTTTATTAAAAGCATAAAATTTTATTAAGATATGGAAGGGTTTAAATCTTGAATGTAAATAACACACTTCTATGAAGAGTAGATGTGCTGGGGTGAGTAGGGTGGGAAGGTTTTCATCATGCAAAAGAAATTCTGAGTCAAAGAATAGCATACCATCAAACTTAGCAGATACAGAACCTAGTTTCTAGAAGAAATGTATAAGAGACTTACTGTTTGACCCCCCCCAGTGTGACTAGTCCTAACCTAACTCCTCTGAACATTACATCTCCCTCTGCAAAAAGAAGTAATGAAGCCTCTTTTGAGATATAACTGTGAGAATTAAACAAGATAATAAAGGGAAAGTAACATAATAATGCATGGCAAGCACAGCCTGATGCTTGCTATCATATTGTAATTACACTGAGACAATGGTCTTTATACTGATTTGGTCAAAGTGGACACTGACGTATACAGATTCAGTCTGGGAGTAATTTTCAACTTCAAATTTCTCTCCCTGATTTACCTTTCTCCCTATTGAAGGGTTACTAAGATCCCCTGTGCCTTCCCTAGTTCTTTCTCATTCTTTTCTTACTCAAAGGATATGAGTTTTGTAAACTATCCATTCTCAAGTATTCTTCCTTGAAATCATATTTTAGTTTGGGTAAAAGGATTTGTTCATCATAAAACTCATTCATTCTCTGTGTTATTATTGTCATGGCTGGACAAATCAGCAAGACAAATGGTTGAAAAGTTCAAACATGGGGGTTTCCTTAAGCTCACGTATCTATTATAATGGAAAGTTCCATGACTTTTTTTTCATTTGGATCTATTCTTACATGATAGTACTTAAAAATTTTTAACTATTATCTTTGGTGGATCTGGGAAATTGCTCAGTGGGTTAGAATTCAGCCATTGGAAGGGTATGCAACCGGTTCTAGTTATGATGTGTTCTTTACTATACTTCTCATAAACTTTTAGCAACTTAATTTCATGAGGATGACACATAAAGATACCATATTTATCAACCTTAACAGCCATGATTAGTTTTAATCTATGTTTCACAAAAAAATAATGGTATTACATATGTATATGTGCATATGCAGAGCAGAAGGAATTGTTTTTAACTTTTTCATTAAGTAAAATGAGGGTTTGGTATGTTTCTGGTGTTCTAAAGAAATTATAGCAAGTACAAAGGAAAACTCAAAAAGCAAGCTTCACTTACAGTGTCTTCATACATCTATGCTTTGAATCACATCTTCAATGTGTACAGACAAGCAGCAGGGAAGAACACCAGATTCTATGGGAAAGGTTAAAATGAAGTTCACAGCATGTTAACTCACTGAGGACCATTGCATATGTTAAATGATTATCTCATTCACTTTTCCAGATTTTTTGCCTCCAATGGAAGATGAAGATGACTCTGATAAAGTAAGCAACTAATCAATTAGAGTTCTTTGTGTTTATTTTGTTTGTAGAATTTTTTTAAACATAAGCATGTTTCACAAAGTTCAGAAAACCCCCTATGATGTACAGGTTTGTATTTGTTACCCAAATTCTCCCAAGGTTTTGAGAAAACAACTGCAACTGTCTTTCTCTTTTTACCATAAGTACCTGCTCCTGTGTTAATAACATATCTCAATAACAACCCTGAAGACATACAGAATCTTACCTGTTTGTTGAAAGAAAAAAAAACAAAAGTCAATGAAGACTTTGCCTGAAGCCACAAAAACCACAGTGTAATATCACATAAATTCTGTCAGAGGGGGTTCCCCTCAATTAGTAGTCAGTAGGTTCCAGGTTCTCAAAGGCAATGGAAAAAATTATTAATACATACATTCAATTTCTGAATCAACCATGAATTCTTAAGTCTTCTGGAAGATTCACTTATGACTTGCTTATCTATAAAATGGAAGATTATAACTCTCACATAATTAAGATTGTGTCTGTAAAATAACAATTAGAAGTCTATAAACCATCTCACAAAGAGACTGTAATTTAAAACCTTTATCCTTGGAATTCCCTTTTGGTCTCTGAGTGTTTTTCTTGACCATGGTTGAAAGCTTATAGCAAATCATCAAGTCAGAAGCTCTATGGATACTAACATGATCATCATCCACGTCAGGGAATAATAACAAAGCATGACATATAGTGAGTTCTTTTTAAAACAATGTCATGTAGACTCTTCTGTGTAGGTCTATCGAGGCTTGCATACAGTTTGCAGCTGTGGAAACTTCTTCTCTGAAATCGTCAGCAATTCCTGATTCTACTTTCTGGAAAAGCAGCAATTAAATCAACTATGGGGATGAAATTCATGATTTTAATTGCTCACAGGATTTTTAAATTAAAATATAATTACATTGTTCTTTCTTGTCCCTTTTCTCCCTCCAACCCCTCCCATGGGCCATCCTTCATCCCTCTCAAATTTGTGGCCTCTTTTTAATTAATTGTTTCTGTTACATACACATCACTTCAGTCACTTAAATAGGTCATGTGAACTTTTGGTTGACAATTTCTCCAGCCTCTGGCATTAAGTATATTTTTGTTATCAATGTAAGTATTCTTTTTCTAGAATATTCTTAAATATAGTCCTGGAGTATGTGGCCTTTGGGTCTTACATTTATCACACAAAACACTAGAAGTTGTTCCCCTTTTCACTTATGTCTTAATTGGGTCCACATTTTTGAAGAGTAGGATGCCATTATATTAACATTGCAAAATTTTCATTCTCAAATTGAGGTAAATTTGTGTTTTAACACTAGATGATTAGACATAAATTTGATTTATAAAAAGAACTGTTATGTATGGTGTTTTGTGTGGCCACAACATTTGTTGTGTGATTAGAAAACATAGGAGTTGGGTTGATACTCTTATTAATGTTTCCTTTGATTTTTGAGATTAAAAAAGAGATTACATAATTACAACCTTTCTCCTTTCCTCCCTCCAAACCCTTCCAATATACCCACCTTTCTCTCTTTCAAATTCATGTCTTCCTTTTCATTGATTGTTGCTGCATGAATATGTGTGTATGTGTGTATATGTCCTGTTATATATTCTGTTCAGTTCTATATAATGTTACTCATATATAAATTTATAGGTATGACAATGTGATATTAGATACTAATTCATGGACTGTTCCCTGTAGAAAACTTTTGTTCCCAGTCTTAGAATTACTTTGTTGCCAAGCTACTATATTTTATTAGTAGAGAAACCTCAACATGGAATAGTCAATAACTTGATTTGGCTTTCTTTTTATTTTTTTAAATTTATTCATACAGTAAAATTGACTTGTCTCATACATTAAAATTGACCATAGTCTCTCCTCTCCTCTACCAGTCCTCCCCACACCTCCCCTCTCCCACAGATCCACTGTTCCTCCATTTCTCTTGGAAAAGTGCAGACCTTCCAGTTATATCAACCAAACATGGCATAAGATACAATAAGACTAGGCATAAACCATCATATCAAGGCTGGACAAGGCAACCTAGTAGGAGGAAAAAGGTCCCACAAGCAGGCAAAAGAGTCCAAGTTACCCCTACTCCCTTTTTAAGGGTTCAAACAAAACCCCCAGGCTAAACAACCACAGCATGTATGCAGAGGGCCTAGTGAAAACCCATGCAGGCTCCATGGTTATAGCTTCAGTCTTTGTGAGGCCCTATGAGCCCTCCTTAGTTAATTCTGTGGGCTATGTTCTCCTGGTATTCTAAATCCTTCCTCTTCCTCTTCATTAGGGTTCCCCAAGTGGTGGATCTCTATATCTGCTCCCATCATCCCATCAACTGCTGGAGGAAACCTCTTTGATAACAATTGGACTAAACATTGATCTGTAAGCATAGCAAAATATCTTTAGGAATCAATCCATTGACTTTTTTTGGTTTGTTGTGTTTAGTTCTACCTTAGGTCTCTGAGCCATCCAGCTTCAGCATCCTTGCCATCTAGGCAGCATAGGGCAGGAGCTCCCCATCATGGCCTGGGCCTCAAGTTAGACCAGTCATTGTTTTGTAACTCCCACATACTCTGAGCCACCATTGATTGCCCCCAGCGCATCTTGCAGGCAGATCAGGTTGTGGGTGGTAGCTTTTGTGGCTGGATTCTTGTCCCAGTATCACCACTGGGAACCTAGTCTCTTTATAGGAGATGGCTGGTTCAGTCTCCATATGGACTGG